CGTGCATGAGTGTGCGTGCGTGTGCAAGTACACGTGCGTGCATGAGTGTGTGCGTGCGTGTGCAAGTACGCGTGCGTGCGTGCGTGCGTGCGTGCGTGTGTACGTACATCGTACTAGTGTTGCCGCCTATCGTGGAGTTATGTACTATTCGCTAACTCGAGTTAAGCGTCTACACGGGTAGACGCTTAACTCGCTTCGTCGTGTAGACGAGGCTTAAGAGATAAAATGCAGATATCTTTAGTGTGAATTCACAATTGTAATCCTATTTTATATTATTATTTTGTTAAAGTTTACCATGTCACATGTGTTACTGTGTACTCAAGACAGACGAGTACTGTACTGATTATGCTTTCTGATGGCATATATTCATTGGCAACGATCAGAATACTACTTATATTATTACTATATATAGTTACTGCTCACTCTACAGTAGTTTTGTTCGGCGAGCCGTAGCCAACCGGCAGCCGGCCGTAGGACTCAGGAGAGATGCTTGGGTGCATGATATGATATGATATAAGGCCAGATCACACAAGATAGAGATGGCAGATAATTATTATTTTTTAATTGCTAGTTCTTCACAGTGCAGGATTAATTTTATTTTCATAACTGAACTCGAACTAGTTGAAATGCGAAATAAAGTACGCATGTATGTACACACATTTACTAGTTATATATACGAAAGTATAGACCAATAAATTGTGCCCTAAAAATTGTTATATTCTGATGTTATTTTAGAAAGTAGCGAAGTTTGCGTGATTTTTATGTCGTGATATTTTAATAAAATAAACGTGATTAAAGAGGAGGATACTGCATGACAAGTGTTTTGTAATGTAGGTAAGATGTTAATAAAGCGACGGCTTTAGGTATTTCTTTGATTTTCTATGTAACACGGCCGTAAATAGTGAAAAGGTTGTCGTGCATTTTGCACGACAGAATTCACAGGTTTTGTCTATGGAAGGCTATTGGGCCCTAAAATAACATCAGAATATAAAATTTTTTAGGGCACAATTTATTGGTCTAACGAAAGTATAGCTCACAGCAACATCCAACACACTGCCTAACCACAATATTTACAATATATACACGAGTTAAACAAGCATCTGGGGCTAGCTGTTAGCATTACCATTCTAACAAGCAGACTAATACTAATATGCATTTATATTGTAATTATAAAAAAATGTTCCGACTGTCTCAGAAGCTGCAATACAGCAGGTGCCGAATGTACGAGCTTTCCGTATGATTTTATTAATGTAAGTAAAGCAGCGGCGTCTGTTGGGTGGAGCTCTTTAATGGTGTTTGCGCAAACCTTACATTTAATATTTCGCAGCTCCTTGTATACTATATATCCTGCTATGTAGTATAGCGCATTGCTCTCACTAGCATCGAATGTAACGGTTGCTGCATCTGCAAGGATGAGCATAGCATCTGTTCAGCTTCTGCATAGCATAGCATCTGTATAGCATAGCAGTAGCATAGCATCTGTTACTTCGGCTTCAGGCAGTGTTTTCTGTTTCGCGATTTTTTATGAACTCAAGAAGTTGCTTGCAATTATCATCTTCGCAATTTGACCCGTTGTTAATACCCATGAATTGTGAAAGTACTATTATTTTTAATGTTCTCCTGAAGGCTCTTGGCCGTGGTGTTGGATTTCTATGATTCCGTACCTGATAAATATAATAATAATAATTAGTCATCCGGTGTATTGGTGACATGGCTCATTCAACAGCCACTGGTGATTCACAGTCTCCAATGTTGAAGAGCCAGGTTTTTACACCTTGAGAAAATTCACGCACCTGACAGAATATATTTTCCAGGGCATCTTGTGTCAGTCGTCCGGGGAGCAAGTATCTGAAGCTGCCATTGATGACTAGCTCTTCCCGGAGCTCCAGAATTGTTGCCGAGGTCATACGGATTCCACTCTGCACTGGCTTCCATCCAGGCTTTTGGAAGGTGAGGTTCTTTACAATCTCCATAGCCATCTGCACCTGTTCCGTTTTTTCTGCAGAACCTTGCAAACCAAGTTTTTACAAAATAAAGAAATTATTAAATATTTAAGCAGAATAATAAAGCAACTAGCTCAAACAGTGGCTATTAATAATATTTATAAAAATTAAGGTTGGCCACATATTGATATGCCTAGAACTATAGAGGGGTTATTCCCTAAAGTAACTGCCTTACCCTCAAAGAACGCATCATGGTATGACCTCCCATTTACGTTATCAACCCAGCTGTTTGCAAAATCGACAAACCATGCTGTTGATAATGCTTCAGGTGGTAACACACCCATGTGAACAAGTACTCTCAGGGCAGAAGCTGTGCTGTGTGACAAGATCTAAAAATTACATAAAATTTTATTTTAATGCATACTAGATTTTATCTTAAATTGTCATGCTGTGCAGTGATTATTGAAAGATAAATACATCCCAATGCACACATGCCTATCCCCTCGTGCAAAAGAATACCTGA